CTTAGGGTTTGTAGAATACACCTCCAAGTCATGTTATTTTATGTATAGTATATGAACCTTATAACAGTATACTTGTATTTTTACCCTCACAACATTTGTGCTATTTTTGTTACATATGTTACCAATTCCACATTGCATGGCATTATTTTTGTTTAAACAGTCAATTATTATTTTTAAAAGGTTAAGTAATTAGAAAACATTTATATGTGTACCATGTGTTCACCATTTCTGGGGCTCTTTATTCCTTTCTGGAGACCGGTATTTCCAAATGGTTTTATTTTCCTTCTGCCTGAAGACTTGGCTTTAAAATTTCTTAAAATGCAGGTCTGCTGGATGAATTCTATCAGCTTTTGTGTATCTTTAAAAATCTTTATTTTGTGTTCATTTTTGAAAGATATTTTCCCTAGGCACAGAATTCTAGGTTGACATATTCTTTCCCCAGTACTTTAAAAAGTTGTTCCATTGTCTTCTTGCTTGCATTGCCTCCTATGAGAAATCTGCTATAGCCTGATCTTTGTCCTTCTATGCGTAACATGTCTTCTTCTTTTGGCTGCTATTAAGATTTTCTCTTTGTCACTGGTTTTGAGCAACTTGAGTATGTTGTGCCATGGTATGTTTTTATTCATGTTTATTGTACTTGAGTTTCATTGAGCTTCTCAGATCTGTGAATTTGTAATTATCATCAAATTTGGGAAATTCCCGGTCATTATTTCTCTGAATATTTTTTGTATCCTCATCTCTCTCTTTTCTCCTTTGGACACTAACTACACATATATTAACCAGCTTGAAGCTTTTATTATCTCACAGTTCACTGATGTTCTGTTCATTTCTGTTTTATCCTTTCCCCTCTCTGTGCTTCATTTCAAATAGTTTCTATTTCTACATCATCCAAGTTTACTAATCTTTTCCTCTGCAATTTCTAATCTGCAATTAATCCAAGCAAAGTATTTTTATCCTACACTGTAGTTTTCATCACCTTTAGAAGTTTAGTTCGGGTCTTTTTCAGATCTTTAATGTCTCTACCTAATCTTTTGAGCAACTAGTATTTTAATGTCCTTGTCTTTAATTCTAACATCTCTGTCAGTTTTGGTTTATTTCCTATTATGGTCTGTATTTTCCTGTTTCTGTGCATGCCTCATAATTTTTTTACTGGATTTACTAGCCATTGTGAATTTTACCTTTTAAGGTACTGGATATTTTTGTATTCTTGTAAATGTGCTTGAGATTTGTTCTGGAATGCCATTAGGTTTTATGGATTTAGTTTGCTCCTTTTGGGTTTTTCTTCTAAGATTTATTAGGCTGAACCAGAGCAGTGCTAACTGAGGGCAAATTATTCGCTACAACTAGACCCTTCTGTGTACTTTACCCAAAGCCCCTTGAATTATGACATTTTCGGGTCTAGATGTTGGAAACAGGTACTAATGCTGTGCAGGCATTGTCACTGATATGTCTAATTCTTTGTGGGGGTTGTTCCCTCAGCCTCTGTGGTGCATGCATACAATCATTGCGATTCAGCTGAATTCTCTTGTTATCTTTCCTTCCACAGATCTCATCAATCCCACAGCCTAAACAACAACAAAATTTCTAAGACCACATCTAAACCTTTCTTTCTCCAGGCCTGATCTCTCTCCCAAGTTAAAGTCCAGTATTTTCCAGGGGTCTCTATCTGAATCGACTACCAACACTTTAAATATAAAATATCTCAAACAGAACTTATTATCTTCCTCTTCCTCCAGCAGCTCTTTCTTCTTTTATAACCCAATGGCTCCCATTACCCCATTTAATGGTTATCATTATTATTTCCAAGTAGACCCCAAACCGTATAGTGACCTTTGACATTGCCTCCTTTCTCACATTCCAAATGTTTCACGTGTCCTTCCTTTATTTTCTATTCTTAGACAATGTTCTGTTCTCTGCCACCACTGAAGTTTGACCTACTATGTGGTCTTTCTGACAGTATCACTTTGCAGAATTTTTAAGAATAGTGTCTTAATAGCCTTATTTTAATTATGTCACTGTCTTCTTTCAAAACTTCAGTGATTCTCAATTGCCTCCTGAAGAAGGTATAAAAATGCCAGCTTGGGCACTCTAGCCCTCGGTAATCTAGCACCCTTCCCATTCATGTTCCCTGACACTATGCTGCACAGAATCTGTGTTTCAGCCAAACTTCCTAAACACTTTATGTTAATCCATTTCTCCTATCACTTTCTGTGCCTGGAATGTCTTCCTTCTCCACCACTGCTATCAAAATTATACATATCCAAGTGTGACTGGTACAACCTGTCTGGAAAGCAAATGTCAACAAGATCTAATATTTTACATACGTTTTTATTCAGAAATTCACATTTAGGATTTTATCCTAAGGAAATAATAGATGCACACAAAACGCTGGCTAAAAGAATGTTTATATTACCAGTGTTTTTAATGGGACAAATTGGAAACAATCTAAATGTCCACTAGAACATTTAATAACAAGATACACAGTCATCTTTAATGTTATAGAGAGATATTTATTGATATAGAAATACGTTCTCTATATGTTAAGAAAAAATAGACTGTATATAATGTAATTCCAATTTTATTTTTAAAATGTAATGAATTCATTGATAATATCTAGATAAATAGACAGAATAAAGAGTAAAAGGCTATATAAACTTTACTGTTAACAGTGGTTATTTCTGTGTGGTCAGACAACAGATTTTCTTCTTCTATTTGCCTATTTGTATTGGTTTGATTTTCTATAATAAATATGTATTATTTTCACAACTTGCAAAACTCATAGCTATTATTTAAGGGCCAACCCTCAAGCAACCTCCTTTCTGGATATCCAAGCACTCATTTATCATTTTTATCACCTAGGAGCTCATATCATCGACAACTCTGTATGTGCCTCTGTTTTTTTCTACAAGATACTTCATGTCAAAGAGTATGTATTAAAGAGCCATGAGTCCTCCAGCATCCCGCAGGCTGGGTGTGCACAGTGATCCCTAACAGAGTGAATGTTAGGCAGCAGTAAGAGGCACAAAATCTATAGATAAAAAAGTCAAAGCCAATAGTTGACATAAGTGTAATATTTAGTTTACTCTTGGGTTTTCATTCCCAATTCTTTAGTTCTCTCACTATCTCTGGGAGAACTTTTTATATTTATTCTATCCTTTAAATTTGAATTTATTCTATCTTTTAAAAATTTTTATATTATTCCTACTGTAGGAAAATATCATGTCCAGCACTTCAGTTCTCCTTTTCCAAAGGAAGAAATCATGGAATATTTAAGAATTGTTTGATATTTCAAAAACTTGCTGACCTACAGTACTGGCAATACCTTCTGTGGCTGATATCACCATAAACTCTCTCACAGGAAGATGGTATCCACTCCTTCAAAAACACACAGCCCCACTGCTTGGCAGATTAGAAAGACATGAGAAGCTGAATCAGCCTAGTAGACTTTCCCTGAGAGAATAATTACTAACTGACACTCAGCCTGCAGGAAAAACAACCAGGGTGGAAACTATTATTTGCATGAGACATAATCTCAGGAGTAACAAAGTTAAACGTGGCGTTCTTGAGTTCTATTCCTGAAGGTATCCAGAGTTAATACCTGCCAAGACATGTACCAACTCAAATCAAAATCTGAGGATAAAATTGCCCACGATGGAGATTTCTTCCTGAAAGACCTGCCATCGAGAACTGCTTTTGTTCAAAATACTTGGAAATGTGGCTAAATCCCCCTACTTCCTTCTAGGGCAAAATTACATCCTGTTCCATGCCATATCTCAAAAGTAAGATGCAGAACCCTTACTGTACATTTCAGAGGGACAGATTTTACTTCTAACAAGACTGTTTACAATGATGAAAGGTGTTCTTCCTGGCCTCTGCCTGGACCTCTGGCTGCATAACCAGTAAAGTCTTCAGCCAGGGTTCTCAAATTTTAGTGAAGATGAGATTTACCTAGGGAGCTGGATTAGTCACTTAATGCTGTGGACCAAATCACTTCAAAACTCAGTGGCTTAAGGGACAAGAATTCAGAAGAGGCTTGGCTGGCTGTTCTGGCTCAGACTCTCTCCAGGGGATGTAGGCAGACATCCGCTAGGGCTGCAGTCGTTGGAAGGCTTGACTGGAGAAGAGACTCTGCTTTCAAGGTGACTCACTCACAAGGCTGGCAAATTAGTGCTGGCTGTCGTTAGACAGCCTCAGTTTCTCTCCACGTGGACCTCTCCATAGGGTTGCAGAGTATCCTCACAGCATGGAGGCCAGCTGCCCCCAGGGCGAGCAACAAGAGACCAAGCAAACAAAAGCTGTTATGCCTTCTATAAGCTGCCCTTGGAAGTCACACACTGACAATTCTGCTGTATTCTTTCTGCTATGTGGGTCAGCCTGACCCAATGTGGGAGATCACACAAAGGCATGAATACCAGGTGACATGAGGCTCCTGGGGACAGGCAATCTAGGAGGCTAGCCACCACAGTCCACCTTCTACCCTTCAACCCTGAGATAGATGCTGTAAGGGGATGAGACTTGGGGGTCTCTGCGGAGGGGAAGGGAGGGGGTGAGTGTATTCTACACATGAAGAAATATGAACTGCTGGGGCCATTGAGTGCCCTGAGACAGAATGGCTCCAAAGATGGCCCCATCTATATGTTTATCCCATCCTACATGCTCTTCTTACAATGTGACTGATCTCCTCCCACCAAGAGATGGGGTCTGTATTTTGTTCCCTTGAACTGAGGGGAGAGAGAGAGGAGAGGTCACTGCCCCAATCAGCGGAGAAGGGCATATGGTCAAAGTGATGCTAAGTAAATTTCGGAGGCTAGGACACAGTAATGATACAGCTTCTGCCATATTTCCTCCCCCCATCTCTGAGGATAACTGTCCTTGAGACATAGACACCATATTGTGAGGAAGCCCAGGCAACACAGAGAGGTCATGTGTTGGGGTTCTGGCTGACAGTCCCATCTGGGCCCTCAGCTGACAATAAGCATCATCTGTCTGTGAGTGCACAGCCCTCAGGTGCTTCCTGCCCCCACCTGAGTCTTCCAGCTGGGTCCCAAGACATCATGAAGGAGAGACGGACCACCTGTACTATGACCCGTTGGAACAACTGACCCACAAAAGCCATAAGAGATAATATCTGATGATGGTTGTTTAACCCATGAAGTTTGAGGTAATTTAAGGTGATAGATAACTAATGCAGCAATTTAAAATATACTTGTTAGGACTACAAATCTTCAGCCCCCGCTCCAGACCCACTGAGTGAGATTTCCTAGGCCAGGAGAAGCCTGGGAAACTACTCATTTACATAGTGCCTCAGATGATTTTCACCATCAGGAATATTGGGGAAATTCTGATGGAGTATTTTCCGCCACAAGCCTCAATGGAATAGTCTACTCGGGTTTTATCTTTGATTGTCTATGCATTTCATTCACTTAGTGAAGACTACGACTGACTAGAAATTGAATCTAAATATGGTTCTGGATGAGACGATCTTGAATTTCTAATTCTCCGATTTTATAGTAAGTCATCAGAAGGTAGTGCTTAGAGAAGAAATATAGAAAATACAATACAAAAGTTTTACAGATTTTTGGACAGAATGTGAAATCCTGTTTCTTCAACCTTTAAATACAGCTGTTCAACAATCAGGAAAAACAGAGAATGGAAGAAAAAAAATATTTCCTGTGGCAACTCTAAATGTACCAAGATGGTGTGGAATCCCCAAGTTATCTTAAGTGGGGAAAAAACAAAGTGTGTAACAGTATCTATCTACTTACCAATATAAACATATATATTTATTTATTTAAGTGGTAAATGCAAAAAACTACCTCTGAAAAGATATACACAAAACTGGTCATGCTGGTTGCCTTTAGAAAGAACTGGATGGCTGGGGTAAGTGCACAAGAAAGACTTATTTTTCACTGAATATCTTTTGTATCCTTTGAATTTTAACAGATAAATGAAATGTTTTTAAAACATCTTTTCTCTTTGGTGACCCCCCCTTCAGAATCATTCCAGAATATGAAAATGTGACCCTCATACCATTATTGGTTACAGTTAATTTTTTTTTTAAGGTCACAGTAAAAGGAAACCTGAGATCTTTCAGGACTAGTGATCCTAACAGATTACAATCTAGTCACTGTAGAGTTCAGAGCTCCATCCTCATTTATCACTGTATCTCTCGGTTGTCACTGTCCATCCTCCAACTTGTTACAGCACAGCACTTAAACTCTGCACAAGCGGACACTTGCCTTGCGCCTGTCACTCCGAGAACCCTGCTCTGGCCCTTCTCTGGCCTTGCCTATCTCACTCACTAAAGCGCTATGGCCAAGGGGACATGTCCATCAGGGCCCACAGGCTATGGGCTTGGGAAAACCTACCACCACTTGTTTTTGTGAAAGAATATGGTAGGAGATGTTTTATTTCAAAAATAAATGATAGCCATCTTGTCCTCAGAAACAACAGTGACTTCTATATTGTCATTCTCCTGTATTGTTGTTATTTAGTGAAACATGTTACTAGGCTTAACCCCAGGGGAAAAAAATCAATATTATACATTAGTAAGGATTTTAATGTCTTATGCAAAACGATATGAACATATTACTTAAAAAGAAGCAAATTTTAATACATTTTTTTCAGAAGCAAATTTGTCAGTGGGGGATCCTTTGAATGTCTCTTTTGTTCAAAGATCATTCATATTAAAGGCTACATATCCTGACGCTGCTGCTGATTGTTGGATAGGAATCCAATGGAAAGAAAATTGGAACCAAGAGGTCAAAAGAAAAAACGAAGCTATATGTTTGTCAGCACATTGCTCTTCAAGCTTTGAATGTGGAATCTGTTGTGTAAAACACAGAAGAGTAGACAGTCAATCAAAGAGAAATGTGTTCAAGCTGGAAATGAAAGGAAGATTAAAGAGAAAGTTACATGTTAAAACTACCTATAGTGTACACTTTTGAGGCATTTTAATTTGTATGCTATCATGAAAGGCTTTTTTACTAGGAAAAATATCCATATGGATGCATGAGCTAATGTGGAATTTCTCACTATTTTTCATAGCAGCTGAGCTTGTAAATCACTCGAGATCTCATTTAAGTGGAGAACAGGGACAGATCATGAATGGACTGCAAATGGGAGCAAGGGAGGCCTCGTTTGACTACATGGAGATCTGGAAAGCTGACATTTGAAAGGGGCATTTATTAGCAGATACTAACTACTGCATACAAAATAGATAAACAACACGGTCCTACCGTATAGTACAGGGAACTATATTCAATAAATTATAATAACCTATTATGAAAAAGAATATATACAGTATAACTGAATCACTACACTGTACTCCAGAAACTAACAGAACATTGTAAGTCAACTATACTTCAATGCTTTTTAATTTAAAAATTTTAAAGGAAAAAAAAAAACCCAAGGAGGATTGGCCAAAATGTGTTGGAAGATACAAAGAAATAACTAGTATGGAATGCTTATCTCCCTCATCCCCTACAAGAAAACAAATAAACAAACTAGAAGATCTGGAACTATTATACCGAACCTGGTCCAAGAACCATTATACCAAATCTCTGGGAACTCTGTGATGTAAAATAATTTACTTCTGGACTCTGTATATGATAATAGAAGGTAGGTAACTGTGATTTCTGGAATGCAGATGCTGATGGGGTGGTAAGATCCCTCCAGACATGCTGGTTCACCTCAGAACACGTCACCAGAACAGGGCCCCACTCAACAGCAGTGACACGATATGTCAGCCTGTCTGGTCTATGGACAGTGACTCCTCAGTGTCTCCCTAAACTGAGTTTCTGTCTTATTAAGAGCCTGAGAAAACTAGCAGTGATGTAGAATTCTGTCAAAGAAATTATTTTTATTTTAGGGTTTAAAAGGTCTCTTTCTCTACAATAACTAAGTGTACAAATGAAATTATCTGAGAAACGGGGACTTCTACTAATTCTCCCCTACACCGGGCACAGAGCAGCTGAGGGGCGACTCCCAGCTGTGCGTGGTCCTCTCCACATCAACCCAGCCACGAGACCCAGGTCACTTCCTTTGTATTGCATACATGCTCACCAAGGCTTGCAGGTGAGTTGCAGACATTACTGAAAGTTTAGAGAAGAGGAGGAGGGTTACAACCCAACAAGAAAAACAATTTAAGATTAAATATGAGACATCACAATTTCCAGCATCCCCGGGGCCCTGTTTACCAAATCAAGCATTCGGCACCCACAATGTGATTCGAATTGCTATTTCTGTTCTGCTCTCTCAGTCCCATCTCATCTTTCCCCTCTCCTCCCACCCCAGAATTTATGTCCATTGATGTAAAATAGTACAGTTCTTTGTTGTCTCTTTAAACCACATTCCCTTGAGGGACTTGTCTTCTGCCCCCAAGCCTTTGGCAAAGCATTTAATCCATAAATACAGTTCCTTTGGTAAAAGGAACTCATGCCCTTTAGCAAAATGATCAGAGTTTTTACTCAACATGAAGCACTTTGCAAAGTGCCAGGCAAACCAAGGGCACTGTTACTGGTCACCGCTGTTACTCTTCACTCTTCCACGGCCAACAGGAACTCTCTGTTTGTTCAGGGCCCCCTGGATCCTGCAGGGCTTCCCCATGCCAGTGCACCTACCCCACCAACCAGGAGGAGGAGAAGAGGGAGGGGAAGGGCGAGGGGGGAGAAGGAGGAGGGTTTTTTTCCTCCTATGTGATTCTGGCAGAAAGAGCTCTCTAAGTTAAACTGAACGCAGGTTACCTATGCACTTCGCCCAAACTTTACCCTTAATCAACTGTCTTAAGCATTTTATGGTTTTTATCTAATTGGCACCACCCTTCATCCTCCCAGTGGTCTGAGTCCCTGGAGATTCTGGCCAGAAGTAGAAGGAATTCACTCCTAGTGATCTCTTAGAATATCAGGAGCTTGGCCTTAGGTTTCTCAATAAGTGAAGCCGTCTTTTTCTGCCATTTCTGAAGCCCACAGTCCCTGCAAGTGGACTCTGTCTCCTGCTTCCGGGCCACTGAAGCTGTGCCATTTTCTAAACCTCTCTCTCCCCTAAAGATCCAAGAACTTCTGTTCCTATTGGTGCCCAGACCCAGAAATTCTCACCCTTGGGGCTCATGGTAATTCAGTGTTGGCGACCAGTTAACTCAAGGGTTCAGAACCTTGCAAAAGACACACAGACCCCATTTTCCTGGGGGTGAGGGGAGGTTGTGCTGAGTTCATCTCTTACTTCTGTGTTCTTTCTGCCTTCTGAATTCACGGATACTTGACTCAGTGGGTTTCCTTTTGGCCTAGGGAAAGTTTTTCCTACTATATTCTGAGAGACCAGATTGCTTGCTAGTTAAAGATGCACAGCACTCCAGGGCTGAGAATTTCAAAGGACTCTTCAAAACCACAGTCTAGACCCTTCATTTACCAGCAGTCACAATAATAATACCTCACATTTAAGGAATGCCTCCCATGAGCAATGCATACGGTTAAGCATCTCATATACATTATCTCATTCAATCATCCTTAAACCCAATGATATAGATATTTTTATTATGTCCATTTTACAGATGAAACTGAGGTTCAGTGAGGTTAAACAACTTGCCCAAGATCATAGAACTAATGTGTCAAAGTCAAGTCCAAATGCTTTTAACCACTGGACTATCCTACCATTCAAATCATTTCATTAATAAGCCCTCTGAAGCCAGCCCTCATATGTCCTCAGAGCCTTCTACACATAACTGAGCTGTGCACTGATAAGCCAGTCTCAGATGCTCCCTCAAGTCAGCAGATGAAGCACAGTGCCCCGGCCCAGCCTAGAAGAAAGCTGGTTGAGAATTGCTAAGCAGAGCTGGAAGCTCCCCTCAGCAACAACTCAAAGAGGAAGTTTCATCTGAGGCCCTAGGAGATGCTCTGCAACTCAGAGCAGACACAGACTGCCCAACGTCATCCCTGAAGGGTCAAGGTCAACCCTTGGAGTCACTGCCGATTAATACAGTCATCATCCCTACTTTCCCACTGAGAAGCCCTCAA